ATTTACATATACGCCGCGGTGTGCGAATTGGTATCCCCGCTTTTTGATAAAAAGCCGCAGTCTATTTATAAAGTGTCATGTTTATACGACGAGAGAGGGCTTTACTTCTCAACACTCATCATGAATGTGCTGGTGTATAGTGTAGAAGCATGTACAATGACATCCGAGGAGACGGCTCTTGGAGTATTCAAGGGAGACGTTGGTGAGGGAAAGTACCACAGACGATGGAACGATCAGCTGTTTGAGCTTTGCAACGATATAGACATAGTGCACGAATTAAAATACAGCGGCTACGTTGGCTTGGCCATGCCGTTCAAAAGGAGGCCGACGCTTCAGATTTGAAAGTATTCAACTCGGATTAGCAGAGGAAGTGGGAGGCCATTACTGCGATGGAAAGACCAAGTGTAGGAGGACTTAACTTCACTTGGCATTTCCGATTGCCGTCAGTTCTTTGTTGAACTCGACCAAAATCACCTAGGCGGTTCAGTGCCAAATAAGAAGAAGAGCATACTGCTTCGAAAGTAAACGAAGTCGTTTATTTTTAAGGAATATAACTGCCAAAGGTAACTCTAGTGCCGATTCGTTGTTTGATGATGGCGGATACTTCAGACTTTGTGCATACTTCCAGCTATAGCAGCTTTGTTGTTTTTAGCCGCGAATTTTCTAATCGCAACTCATATGGTCGAATCAGACATCCGTTTCGTTAACTTCGACTGAAAGCTCCGGTTCATTCCCTCCTTTAATTAAAATTATTATATCATTCGGAAACGTAGAAAGGTTAGTGTTTAAAGAAATAATAATAAGAGGACCTACTTTGTAGCACTGGCGGAATATGGAAAAATCTCTTTTTTTGAAAACCTAATTTAGTAGTCATGAGTGGATAATTACACAGGCATATATGAGAAGGTAAGTCTTACAAATGTCCATCGTGAATCCTTTCTTTGAAATAAATTTTTCTCGAAAAGCCATATTTCAGTATATTCCACTTCAAATGCCCATAGCTCTGTTGCTTTTCCCGTAAAAAAGGTCTGATTGAACCCAACTTGTTTGAAAATTAACAAAATATGTGGCTATAAGCAACATAAACCGATGGTCTTATATGATATAAGTAACCAAAGCACCGTACATTAAGTTTTCTTAATTTCTATCTCTTTAATTGGTTGCCAATATTTCTCCTAATTAAGGCCGTTTGCACCTTGTCTGGTTAATTCTAACTCGCAATTAAACATCGTTATCGACGTTGTCGACACCCAGCATATAACATGTGATCGATAAAGCAGTCGAAGTGCTTAACTGAAGGATGTAGCTCCAGTTAGTGTTAACTAAACGTGGTGCAAACGGCCCTTAGAGTTGGTTTGTACTTAATATAAACAAAAAACTTCAAGCCCACCAGTTTTTCTTTTATTTGTAGTAGTTGCCATTTGACAAACTGTTTTTAAAAACCATGCGAAAAAGTGTGGCATGTACTAGGAGGCATGCAATAAATAAGGTTGCTCCACGTTGTATTTTATTGGGAAAGGGCTGAGAGGAATTAAAATATGTACATATGAATGCATGTACTTATCAATTATGTAATATTTTTAAGCGAAAAAATTAAGTAAAAAAACGTACGATTAATAAACAACATACGTACATGCATGTAGGTATGTGCATACACTAGACTGGGTCGCAAAAAAGTGGATTTCAGCGCTATAAAATGCACAACATCTTTTCAGCCATTATGTTACTCCCAGTTTGGCCATTGACATGAGAGAAGTGAGTGAGAAGCGGCTATAATTGCCAGAAATTTTAACGCTTGGTCAACGGTATTGGCCAGTACTCGTTAAAGCTTGATCCCCCATTGTGCTAGAGTATCTCAAAATAAAGTCATATAACAACTTTTACATGAGACATGTTAACCTGGCGCTTGCATCAATCAAATTACATGGCAGGATAAGTATGATAGATGTCCTCGAAATCGCATGCCTTTCAATTTCTTAGCGAGAAGCATCCAATAATAGCTAAAGTTAAAGGGGCAGTGTTTTCACAACCTGCATGCCGCTTGTTGAATAGCATAGATTCCTTAGGTCACAAAGGAGGTGAAAGGCAGGCTTGCCATAACCGCTAAGAACCAGGCACCGTTACCGGATGGAATACCAAGCATCGCTCTTAAAGTAGTCATAAAAGAAAGGCCTTCGTTATTCCCCAAGTTTTATGATCAACGTATTCAGGAGGGAATAGTTCCTGTGGCTCGGATAGAACAGAGACATACTCTTCTGTTAAAGAAGCCTTCACCCTTCGGCATAAATGTCCCTCTAGATATTTTATACTCTGGCTAAAATCCTCCAACGCGATCCCATTACCGGCCCAACCAACGAAATTTCGTCCAGTGATAGAAAAGGGGCATTTAAAATGCTTTCAAATTCAACGACCTGGCCGCAATTCGTAGCGACTCCTAACAGCTTTCACATTACCGCGTACTTATTTGCATAATAAAATTGGTATGATATCAAAGAATAGACACTTTCCTTAACAAAAAAGAATCAT